ATATATATAAAGTCGCTTTACAACGCACTTCGGCGTTCTACGACACCCAAACGCCACATATGCCTGTCTTCCCAGAGGTTATCGGGCAACTGGCACAAAAAATAAAAATACAAATAAATTTCGTGCACAGACGATGATCAGGCCATTTTTGGAAAATATAATTAGACAGAGTTTTAACAACGTTGCTTGATACTTCTTCTCAATACATATTTCACTAAACTGCGTATATAAGTGGTGCCATCGCGAAATGACATGCTCACTCAGTAGGTATACACACAAATGAGTTCTCTTCACCAATCAGAAGGAGGTTATTTTTACGAAATATCAGTTCGCCTTCAGTTTCAGTGTAGGCAGCACAAGCCCCCACGTGGTCGAATAGAGTTTTCGTATTATTTCAAAGATAAATAAGCCAAATATTCTGCTGTATCACTCATATCTCTCGGGTTTTCTGGGCGCTGCACAGCGCCCAGAACCGGAGTCTTTTGTGCCAGAGTCTGTAACTCCGGCACAGAATTTCTTTCCAAAATTGTCAACGAAACTTGTCAAAATTGCAACTTCCATATTAGAAAACATGGATTTTTGGAGAACTTGCGAATATTCTTCTTTAAATTTTTCAGAGGATAGAATTCGCAATATTCAATCTAGAGTATCTGCAAAGTTCAAGTAAGAATCCTCACAATTTGCATCAAATATCAATATTTTACCGGGATAAATTTGAAATGTTCGAGTGTTTATACGACGTTTTTCCTTAGCACAATAGTACGTCGCTCCCGAAAAATCCGAATGATATAAATAAGAAATGATTAAGTGGACGCATTTCTGTCAAACAGAACTATGTGCATGATGACATGAGCTCTGTCAAGCATATCTATATTCTTATAGATCTCTGGGCTCATGTTTTAATGCACATGGTTCCGTTCGGCAGAAATGCATTAAAGTGCATTCCGAAAAATCTTTGAGTTGCAGAAATTCTTAACGCAATTTTCATTCTGTTCGTAGGATGAGAGGCTAAAGATGTTTGGGTTGCATTGTTGTAGGCTGCAATTTTCCAGCGTTCGTCTACGTCTCGGAGACGGCGCCACCAGCCTACCGCGGATTGTTCCTGTCCCTGAACGCCCTGATGTCCTCTCTGGGTCTGGTTTACATCTACTCCCTGGGCGGCTACTTCCCGTGGGTCTACGCTGCAGGGGCCACTTGTCTCATGGCCACCGCAGGGCTCGTTCTCACCTTCTTCCTCCACGATTCGCCGGCCTGGCTCGTTCGGAATGGAAAGCTCGAGGCCGCTCAGAAGAGTCTCCGACGGATTGAGGATAACGCCGCCAACGTTGAGATCAAGCTGAAGGAGCTACAAGAAACGGCCAAAAATGAGCCCACGACCAGCTTCAACCTTCGAATTTTCATCGAACCCACCGTCTGGAAGCCTTTCATGCAGGTATCTTTTTCTATAATTGATTTGTTGCTACCTCCTTCTAAATGGTGACAGAATCGTATTTTGATGCTTGATTCTTGTAGATCAGCTAAAAATGAATCCGCCCAAACAGCAATTGTAAGGTCAATATTAACAGAGATATCGCCCTTTGAAAAGTCGAGTTTGATGACGTCATTCAGTGCGGTATAGACCCCCTGCTTTCATCCGGGTTTCACGTTGATTTTAACCAGTGCAAATGTGCGTCATATTGACTGATGAACTGCGGTCATACTGCGGTGGATGACGTCATATACCGAATTTGTCAAAGCGCGATTTCTCGGTTAATATTGGACGTAGAATTAGTTGCTGTTTTGACAGTTCTCAATATTTTCTACTAATCTACGAGAATTGAACAGTAAAATACGATTCTGTGACCAGCGCAACTGACCCATTCCTATCTAAGTGTCAGAGATCATCAGTTCTAAAATCGTTACTTCGCTTTATTTTCGAATGAGAACCAAGCAGAATGTCCCGTGTGGCAATAAAGGAATGATGAATGGCGACACTCCTTGTTGATCAAAACAGCATGTTGCATGGTGGCTCACAGTCATCAAATGTTCTATTTTGATCAAAGATCTCTCATCGAGGCCGCAAAACAGAAATTGCTGCTATGCTTAAATTGTTGAACATGTTTCTGTAGGAAAGTCAATTATTAGGTAGAGTTAGTCAAAGGAGTCGTAAATACATTGGCCTTTTTCAAAAAGAGCTTGTCGCATCTGCTCAGCGGAGGAATTTGGTCGCCTTGATGCTGAATTTGGAGTAAATTGTGTAATAGAAGCCTTGCACGACGAATAATTAAAATTGAATTCACCTGAGGGGTGGTTTAAAGCGGGTTAACCTTTTTCCTTCCGTACATATTTCTTCGTATGTGACCGTTTCGCTAATCTCATTTGAAAAAACTTAAAAACCATTTTGTTTAGGTGCTGGCCATGTCGGTGCTGCAGAACATCGCCGGGTTCTACATCGTGATCTACTACACGGTGCAG